CTATCAAATGTTGCAGCAAATCTCATCCAAGCAATTGGTAGATGAGATGCCCATTTTAAAGAATGTTCATGAAGATGTTATTTGTCAAGGCTGTCAATTTGGCAAATCATGTCACTTACCTTTCAACAGGTCATCAAGTCAACACTCTGCAACATTTGATTTGATTCACATAGATTTGATGGGGCCAACAAGAACATCAAGTTGTAGCGGTCAACGGTATGTCATGATGCTAATTGATGATCACTCAAGGTTCACTTGGGTAAAGTTTTTGAAGGAGAAGAGTGAAGCACTGTCCAAGTTTGCAGAATTTAAAGAAACAATTGAAAAATAGCTCGAAAGAAAGATAAGGTGTCTCTGAAGTGATAATGGTGGGGAGTATATATAAGAAGAATTCTTCAAATTCTATGACGAGAATGGCATTCATCATCAAATGACATGCCCGGATACTCCACAACAAAACGGAGTTGCAAAAAGAAAGCTTGCACACCTCACTTCAATGTGTCTATCTTGGCTACATGACAAAAATCTTCCATGAGAACTTTCGGCTAAAGCAATTCATGTGCATGTCATGTAACAAACAGGTTGCTCTCTTGGCCAAGTACACAAAAATCTCCTTTTAAAATGTTGTATGGTGAAAGCCAAGTGCGAATTATTTTAGAGTGTTTGGTTCTATATGCTATGTTCATGTTCGCAAGAGCAATAGAACTAAACTTGACCCAAAGGCAAGAAAGTGTGTTTTTGTTGGTTATGATTCATACAAGAAGGGTTGGAGGTGTGTGGATCCAAAAACAAAGAAGTTCACCATCTCTAGAGATGTGGTGTTTGATGAGGTTTCTACGTTGTTCTCTGCTCCCATGTTTGTTGCTCCTAATGACGATGAAGACAATCTGGAGCATTTATTCTCTGAAACAAATCTGCAAGCATCAAGTGATGAGGAGGTGGAGGATAAGTCACGAGGTGAAAGTACAGAATATAATGGACAAACTGTCAGGCGATCAACAAGAGAGAAAAGGCAGCCACATTATTTAAAAGACTATGAAGTCAACAACTGTACTGTGACAGCTTGCTTCTTTACAGAAGGATTGGTTGCAAAAGAACCAACGAGCTTTGAGGAAGCGAATGACAATCCAGAGTGGAAGAAGGCAATGCAAGAAGGGATTGATGCTTTAAATAAAAATGAAACATGGGACTTGGTGCCCAAACCAGAAAGTTGTGAACTAGTAACATGTAAATGGGTGTTCCGGTTAAAGAAGAAATCTGATGGCCCCATTGACAGGTTCAAAGCTCGCTTGGTAGCTCATGGTTTCTCCCAAAGTTATGGTTTGGACTATAAAGAAACATCCAGTCCTGTTGCAAAAATAGTGACAGTAAAAACCATTGTATCACTTGCTACATTTAAAAGATGCAAGTTGTGGCGGCTTGATGTGAATAATGCTTTTCTTTATGGAGAACTAGATTAGGAAGTATTTATGCAGCAACCTCCTGGTTTTATCTCCGAAAAATTCCCAGATCATGTTTGTCGCCTGAAGAAAGCACTCTATGACCTAAAGCAAGCTCCACGAGCTTGGTATGGTAAAGGGGCTCAATACCTTAGCTTTTGTGGATTTCAACTATCTTATTTAGATTCTAGTTTATTTATAAAATCATATTCAGATGTGCATTTGCTTGTGTTACTATATGTTGATGATATGGTAATAACTAGGAACAATGAGGCTGAAATCTCAAACTTGACATATGGTAACAACTAGGAATAATAAGGCTGAAATATCTAGGGGACGTTGGTTGTTTTCTTGGTTTGGAAGTTGAACAATTAAACCAAGGATATTTTGTGTCCCAAAGAGCTTACGCAAGGAACCTGTTGAAGCGTTTTCATATGGGCAAGTCAAAAGAAAAGGCCATCCCAATGGAACCAAATCAGAATTAAAGAAAGATGAAGGAAAGCTGTTGAAAGATCCAACAAGGCTCAGACAACTTGTTGGAAGTTTAATTTACTTGACCATCACAAGACCAAAGATTGCATATGCTGTAGGCATTATTTCTCAGTTCATGCAAGATCCAAGAACCTCTCACTTGGAAGCAGCCAAGAGGATCCTATGCTACGTGAAAGGAACTATTGAATGTGGTCTCTTATACAAGAAGTGTGGTAGCCTTGTACTAAGCGGATTCACTGATGCTAATTGGGCTGGAGACACAAATGATAGGCACTCAACTTCAGGCTATTGTTTCAACATTGGGTCAACCGTTGTCTCTTGGTGCAGCAAGAAACAAGATATAGTAGCTCTGTCAAGTACTGAGGCCGAGTATGTCGTTGCAACGATGGTTGCTCAGGAGAAGAGGCTAATAGAAGATACATCACACCAGGTTGACTACGTTGTGCAGATCCGATGCGATAACAAAAGTGCTGTCAAACTTGCATTAAATCCTGTCTTTCATGCAAGAAAAAAGCATATAGAGGTGCGTCATCATTTCATACGTGAGAAAGTCTTGACCAGAGAAGCTAAGCTAGTGGGTGTTCGAACAAAAGCTCAAGTAGCTGACATATTTACTAAGGCGCTGGTAAAGCCAAAATTCCAAGGTCTTCGAAGTGCACTAGGGGTCGTTGACAGAAAGTTTGCACTAAGGCTTTGTTTGATTGGAGGGTTTTTTAGGGGAGGGAAGGAGAGGGGAGAGGAAGGGATGAGATAAGTGTGTTTGGTTTGGGAAAAATAAATGGAAGGGAGGGAAGAAATTTGTTTTTTAGTGCTTCCCTCCTTTCTTTTTGCTCCCCTTCAAATTTGGGGTTTTTTGGAGGGGAGAGAAATATTATGTCTAGTATTGACTAAACTACCCATATTAGCTTTTCAATATTCCAAGTTTGCCCCTCTTATTAGAAACCCTTCTCTCACCTCTTTCTCTTTTCAATCCCTCCTGATCGTCTCTCCCCAAGTTTGCATCATATTATCTTTGGTGATTTGATCTACTCGTGGGATCGACGTACTACCTCTCTGGTTCTCTTTTTAATCCAATATATTATTTTACAATGGATGATTTGCTCCCTTTTCACGCCTCTTTTCTCCTCATAATGTGTGTATATATCCATATATATTTGTTTGCAAATCTTGCTCCCTTTTCTTCCATCTTTATTTGTCATATTTTCTTCTCTTACCAATTTTATATCTCTTGCATAAAAAATGAAAAGATTTGAGTGAATACTTATCAAAAACTCTTTGAGAAACTGATTTATCTTCATCCAATGATTCAAAATAAACCTCCACGTCGTGGGTTTTAGAGCAGATTTTAGGTGACATTGATGTTGCCTATTATGAATCACTTAGGAAGTATTTTATGTTAGGTACTAACCAATTTTGTAATGAAGTTGGTGATTTTTGTAATTTTTTTGTAATATAGTATGATGACATAATAATGTATTATAATTATATTATATACATATCATATAATTAATATATAAATATCATAGCGTGTGTGTATTATAATTACATAATATATACATATCATATATATTAATACACATGCGTGTGTATTATAATTATAAAATTAATGAGATAGAATGTTAAAAATTTTATCATATTTCCTAATTTTTTTAGCTTTATCATAATTTTTTATCACCTATAAGTGAGGTAATTGGTTTTTTTGAAATTCATAAATTAGGAAATAATAATTTTGTTATAAATATTATAATAAAATAATAAACCAGTTTGAATATAGAGATAATGGTATATTTCTCAATTTCTAATTACCAGCCCTCTCCTCCCCTTATAAACCAAACAAGAAATCTCCCTCCTCTTCCCCTCCTCTTCAACTAAACAAAACCCATGACTTCCCTTTCCCTTCTCTTCCCTTCTTTTAGGATTTATTTGGTTGGAGGAGAGGGTAGGGGAGGGGAGGAAAAATGAGCCCTTCCCCTCATTTGGTCAAAATTTTAAAAGGGGAGGGAAGCCAAAATATATTATCCTAAGTAAAAAATTAAAAATATAAATTATTATAATTAAAAAATATTTAAATAAAAAATATAATATTATAAAATTAATTATTTTTTATAAATATATTATTTATCAAATATATATTTAAGGCTAAAAAAAAAGCATGGCCTAAAGAGAATAAAATTTCAATTTTTTTAGAGCATATAAAATTTGTTGATTTGATTATTTCAAATATACTATTATATTAATTAGAAAAAAAATACTGTACCAGTTTTTTAATGCATATATTACCATGATAAGAATAAATTTTTATTAAATTATATAATTTAAATTAAGATATAAATTAATTTATATAATATATCAATAAAAATATAAATTAATATGTAAGGGTAAAATGATAAATTGATTATTACTATCCCTCTCCTCCTCCTCTTGAATCAAACAAAGGATCATTAAATATTCCTCTCTTCCTTCTCTTTTAATCAAACCAAACAAGGTGAGGATAAAAACTCCCCCACCCCCTACTCCACCCCTCCCTCGAACCAAACAGACCCTTAATTAACCTCCCCTCTCCTTCCCTCCCTCGAACCAAACAAACCCTTAATTAACCTCCCTTCTCCTTTGCTGAACCAAACAAAACCTAAAGGGGAGTGCTAAAAACGTGACGTTTATGTTTGGGGTTCCTTATTTATTCATTTGTCTCATTTGTTTATTTAAGTTTTACTGAGTCAAAAACGTGAGGCTTTTTCATGTAGGTTTCCTATTTTCTAGCGTTATTAGTTTCATATTATTTAACTATATTTTGAATAATGCGGATACTAGATATATGATAGTTGGAGAATTACGTGGGAGTGGGCTCATTACTCATATTATAAAGATCTTGATATAATCTTTTGAGATAGTAGATAATCAGAAAGTATTCTCCAAGATAATATTCAGTTTGATGATTTCACTTCCTCTCTCTTTTGTTTTACCGGATTCGGAGGATTGTCTTGGCAACGAGACTTGATCATCCGGGGGAGGTTCTGGTGTTGGACTTGGGGTTGGGGCTTCCGGAGATGTTGTATGCTTGTGGCATTCATGAGGCCATTCTCTTGCTTTAAGGGGTTGCTTGGTGGTAGTGGTGGTGACGATGCTGGGGAGGGTACTAGTAGGGGCGGTGGGGCCGGCGGTGGAAAAGAAGGTATGGACGGCTCGGTTTGGTTCCGAGATAACGGGAAGCATGGCTGCGGTGACTTCTCCATGGCGGTGGTTCAGGCCAACCGGATTATTGAAGACCAGAGCCAGCTTGAGTCTGGTCCATTGGGCACTTTTGTCGGCATATACGATGGCCATGGAGGTTACGATGCGGCTCGATACGTTTGCGATCACTTGTTTCAGAATTTACAAGGTCTTTGATTCGGAAACCCGTCTTTTGTACTCATTTAATTCTGGTTCTTGCGGGCTTTAAGTGGCCACGTTTTTGTTTTCTTTGTCATTCACGAGTACGAATTGTTATTAGTGATTCTTCATCAATTCACTTTTCGTGGTCTTTTATAGTTTGAGATTTCAAAAAATAAGCACAGTTGGAACTTATGCCATGCACGCTGTATTACGAGTTATATTTAATTTTAGAGTTCTTGATCGCTGAACGGTAAACGTTACATCGTGTCTTCAAATCTTGATCTCTCCTGTTCCCTTCTTTTCTGAGCCGAAGGCTTGTTGTTATATTGGTAAATTGTCTGCCCTCAATGTTGGCTTCATTGCGGGATAGAGCGTGTAGGGATTTTGCTCCACGTTATCTTTTTTCTTTTAGTAAATGAGCCCTTCCTTTTTTAGCCGTATTAAACTTCGTTCGTGTGCACCAATATCAGCCGAGTCACAGGGATCGGTTACACGTGGGACCATTGAAGGAGCAATTCGCCGAACAGAAGAGGGATTCAGCCGACTTGTGGCAGAATCATGGAATGCTCAACCTGCTTTGGCTACTACTGGAACTTGCTGCCTCATTGGTGTGATTTTTCGGCAGACCTTATTTGTGGCAAACCTTGGAGATTCCCGTGTTGTGTTGGGCTCAAAATTGGGCGGCGGTTCAGATCTTTTGGCAATTCCGCTATCACATGAACACAATGTAAATGTTGAGGAAGTTAGACGGGAACTCCGAGATTTGCACCCAAATGATCCCCAAGTTGTTCAAATGAGGCGTGGAGCCTTTAGGGTAAAGGGTATCGTTCAGGTAAGTGCCTCTGTTTATATCCCTCCTAGGACCCTGTTTTTCTTCCATGTGGAAACTAATTTTTGCTGAAACGTATTCAAGAAACTTAATTATTACTTATAGTAATCATAATGATCTCTTTTCTTGAAATTTTGTGGAGGAGCATGTTCAATTAAAATCTCTTACTTACCTGTGCCTTGCTCTGAGAGTCTGATTGTCCAAAATGATATTCTGTGTGTAATCTATATTTTGTGAGGTAAATATGTCCGTAGACTCAAGCCATGCAATGCCTGAGATTTTAGTTTATTATTGTGTCTTTTGTACCCCGTGTCTTTGGCATATATAAATCTGCAAATGTTGATGAAAACAAGGATAACCCTGTCAAGCTGAATATGCTGCGTTATCCTCGCAGTCATGTCTTGATTAGGCACAGTATATATGTAAAAGAGTCACGTTCCTCCATCGTATATGATATTTTTTCAAGTGAGGAGAGTCAGTATTGCAATTGTGGGGGGAAAAAGTGAAGGTGCTTTTATTCTGCAACTCCTCTATTTATTTGTTCATGAAGTCAAATTTTGTCAGTTTTACTTTCCACTATCTGCAGTAATGATGTTATTATATTTCCTGGTCCACGATTGTATTTAATTGGTGCAGGTCTGTAGAGCCATAGGCGACTTGTATATGAAAGATGCGCAGTTTAATCGGGAAGCCATTGCTCCAAAATTCAGACTTCCTGAACCAATGGACATGCCTTACCTGACTGCTAATCCAGAAATTATGATTCATCCACTCCATGCAAATGATTCCTTCCTTATATTTGCCTCTGATGGTCTGTGGGAGTTCTTGGATAATAACACAGCCGTAGGTATTGTCAAAAGCGGTCCACGTGGGGTAAGCAATTTCTTTGTAACTGTTGATGATTTTCCTACTGTACCTAATTTTCACACCTGGGAACTCATTCCTCAAATTTTCTCGAATGCCTGTAAATGTAATTTGTAAAACGCTTTGGTCCCACTCACACATATGTACGTGCTTCTTCGGCTTTAGTTAATTAAAAATACTCTCCTCAAGTTTGCAACATAATGTACCACATGTGATACACGTTGAGAATGGAGAACAATGGATTCATGGATTGCTTTGAGTAGGTTTTGAGAGTATTTAGAAGCAGAACTCGTTTATGCAAATACTGTCATATGAGTAATTGACTGATCGTGGATCTGCAAAGTTTATATAAAAAGAAAAGGAAAGAATACAATTGAAATGAGCCAGAAGAGAGCGTGGTGGAGCTAGTTGTCGTTTTCTTTATATGCAAAGAAATCAAAACAGCGTGGCGTGTTGATGCAGGGGAGCGCAAAGAGACTAATCAAGGCTGCACTGACGGAAGCAGGAAGGAGGAAAACGATGAAACTGATAGATCTGGAAAAGGTTCCGAGGGCTGAGCGGCGCGAATACCACGATGACATTTCTGTGATTGTCGTCTTCATAAACCACAACCTTGTTTCCAGAGGCGCACTTTCTGACCCACCTGTCTCTGTTCGATGCCCTCCCACGTTGCATTGATTTCTGATATCACTGTTCTTCCCGCCATTCGTTTATTCAAATTCTTTTCCCTTGGATACTACTAGAATATAATACACATCAACTGTTGATTGTTTCCGGATTTAATTCCCTTTTCTACTCGTTAATTTCACGTTCCGTTATTCCTTCGTCCACGCCCATCGTATATAGTAGTTCTAAGATGCTATTTCATTTTTTTTTTTTTTGAGCTGAGGTGCTATTTCATATTTTTATTACTAACATATATAGATACATCTCTGGCAATATATATATATATATATATATATATCTCACATGTGCAATTACAGAGAATGGGTTACATTATTTGTACTGCGATCTATTTGAATATTTACATATAGTATATATATCTCTATATTTTTACGAGTACGGACGACACTTTTACATATTATGTAATGTATTAATTGTTAATTGAACCTGTGTCTTCTTTCTTATAAAGTGGACATGTCTATCTAGCGAACCAACAAAATTAGCGGTATACTAAACTAGGATTACATAAAGTTTTATGTATACCCGCGTCCATCTATCAATGTCTTGGGGGAAGAAAATCTAGTAACGTTATTTGTTAATGCTATTTCGTAATTATTTATCATCAATAATTTTCATATCAAATTTTCAGAATTTGCAGGCAATATGTGTGTTCTCATTGTAATGATGCCTAGAGAAAAGAGATTAATATTCATCAAACTTTTTGTTTTATTAAAAAAAAAAAAGAACCGCCATGTGTTTAACAGCCCAGTAAAACTAAAATGAAGGTGCCATATTATTTTTTATCTATCATCTATTTGTTATAAAATTTATTTTATAATTCTATTTTAATATATTTATATATTGATAGATTCATGTTGAAATTAATTTTGTAAGAAAAAATATAACATGAAAAAGGACTGCATGGCCATTATGGAAATTTCAGGGGTACCCGAGCAAATAAGGTATTTACAGTCTCGGCGGGTGGACTCGCTTGTTCTCGACGAAGACCTAAGCATAGGGCATAAGCCCCATCTCGGTACCGGCGATTAGCTCGTGAGCTTCCGCTATGCTTAATGCTTAGCATAAATTACCGTTATTCTGACTTCCTGTGCACATCGATCCCTATTTCTGGTTCCTGAAAACGATTTTCATGATTAAAGTGCTATGAGAATGTCACGGTCTCGCTCGTTTTTATACTCCTTCGCAATTGTACTGAGTCTTCTCTTGACTCCCTCCGAGTCGGCACCGCAAGCCTTCAGAAGAGATCGCAGTCACGCTCAATGGCACCATGGAGCTTTCCACGACGTGCGAGATAGCGTCCGATCCGATGTTCGCCGCATGCTTCACTCTCGCGCTGAGGTAGAATTTTCTTTCCAGAAAACGCAAAAACGGAAAATGACCAATGGCAGCGGTTTCGTTCTGTGTTTTGACTTTAGAATTCGGTTTGTAGAGTTAGGAAATGTTTAATTCCTTTTTAAAACTAAAATATGATTGTTCCTCTTTGTACAAATACGGTATTAGTCTTATAATCATGTGTTTCTCTGCCTCTTTGCGATTTGGGTTATGCATGACGTTTGTGCTATAGGTTCCGTTTCAAGTTCCGCTCGAAGTGAATGTGGTTCTTGTTGGTTTCAACAAAGATGGAGGCTACAGATACTCTATTGATGCGCATCAATTAGAAAAATTCCTCAAAATGAGCTTTCCATCGCATAGACCATCTTGCCTAGAGACTGGCGAGCCTCTTGACATTGAGCACCACATGGTGTATAATGTTTTTCCGGTAAGCTTCTTGATTTTTTTCCCCCTTTTAATTGGGTAGTGATTCGCCTGTGCTTTGTTTTTTTTTTTTTTTTATACGCTCGCCTGTGATTTGTTTATTATGGTACAAATTTGATACCCATCTGTCATTCACATTACAGCGGTGTCATATCTTTTGTATGATCAATATTGATGCTTGCTATTCCTATTTGTTTGCTAATTTGATTGCTTTATAATTATATATGTTCTCAGTGCAGTTCGTTCTGTCATATACTACTTTTGATGGGTCTGTTGTAGGATTGTATATTTGTATGCGAGAAATTAAAGTTTATATGGGTGAATATGATTATTTAGATTGTTAAAGTTATGGTCACTACTGAATGTGGCTCGAAGTTTATATAAATTCTGGTGCATATCTATCTGTGGAATAATAAAAAAAATGATATGTGACTGCTTGGTGTTTCGGTGCGTAATCCAGCCACTGGATTAGATTTTTGTTTCTTCCTTAAAGCATTAATGTTACAAACAAAAGGTTACAACCATTGAATCACATGACTCAGGTATTTTCTGTGTTTTTTATTGCTGAAAGGCTTGAAGAGGTTAGGATCAGGCCCTGCATCATAATCTAACTGATCCCCAAATTTCTTGCTCATTGGGCCCATCACATTTACTTAATGGACTGCAATCAAATTTTTTATTGCTTTTTTTCCCACATGGTGTATTTTTTGTATCAAGTGCTGCACACACACTTTATCTCGTATTCTTTCTGAATTGTAACATTTTTTATTTAATTCTCATCTCAGTCTGGACAACCTGAATTGATAGCACTAGAGAAGACACTTAAAGAAGCTATGGTTCCTGCAGGAAAAGCTAGAGAGGTAAAATCCAGTTTTACATGCCCCTTGTTGTTTGCTTGGTTGATTTTAGAAAATATATGCCCTTGGCCTTAAGAAAAGGTCCTGCGTGTTTAAAATTTCCAGATTGAATTTGGAAGGGAGTTACCCTTGTTTGAAGTTGAAGCAACAGCTGTGGAGGACATATTTCAGAGGCTGTACTCTTACATATTTGACATGGGTGCTGAGGGAAATTCTGGCACCGAGAAGGATAGACCAGAGCCAATTGCAGTATTTATATTAAACTTTGATAAGGTATAATCTATTCTTTTCTTTATAAAACGCTTTTCCTACTTTGTATTGAACCAAAGTCAGTTGATGTCAAATTCTTTTAAACTACCTGCAGTGCTTAGAAGTTTTTGTTGGCTGACTACTATAACTGACAAAAATTAATGAACACATGATTGGGTTTTCTTATTCCTACTTGCTTAGACAATTGTTGTGACTAGGTTTCGTTTTTTCCCCTACTAAACTCTTATATTGCAGGTTAGAATGGATCCTAGGAATAAGGAAATTGATCTTGATAGTTTGATGTATGGGAAACTTCCTGAGCTAAGTGAGGATGATATTACAAAACAAGAAGGAGATTACATTTATCGTTATCGCTACAACGGTGGAGGAGCATCCCAAGTTTGGCTGGGCTCGGGCAGGTATGAAATAATTTAGTAGTGAACTTATCTTTTTGTGTATGATCCAAAAGCAGCCAAAATCTGTTTCCCGTGGGTATTGTTTGCAATGCTCTGGCAACTTATGGAATGAGCACCGGAGGCAATTGGATTTGGATTAATGGTCTGAATCATGCACAACCCGGAGTTAAGCATGGATTTTAGTTTGCTCAGAGCATTTTTTGTATTTGTTTTATAACATGTACGTGCATGATCTTTTTTTCCCAGAAATATTCAAGAGATTATTATTGTGTAATATTTGCAAAATTACAATATATACGGACACATATATGTTAAATTTGATAGGTTGCATCAGTAGTTAAGAGAATAAACTATTTTCTAAATTCATATTTTATTTGTCCAGCCAAGAATTCATTTTAACCTAAACGTTTTTTAACTCAGTTGTTATTTTGGTTTCTGCAACTTTTTTTCCCTGAAAACTAATAAAATATGTTCTCGTATAAAAAAAATATACATTTACATATTCACTGTATTAAGGAAAAAGGGTTGTTTGTTCTAATACATATATATATAGAGAGAGAGAGAGAGCACGTGCCTATCCAAATATGCAAGCCTAACTTTCTTTCTGTTCTGTTTAGATATGTGGTGATTGACCTCTCAGCAGGGCCATGCACTTATGGGAAAATTGAAGCTGAAGAGGGAAGCGTCAGTTTTAGAAGTCTGCCAAGATTACGAAGTGTTATGCATCCAAAAAGCTGGCGAACATTTGCTGATCATTCCAGCCATGACATTTTTCTTGGACAGCTTGCCTCTTTGATGTCAATCACGGTGGAGCATGTTATAGCTCCTGATGTTAGGTATTTGTGGATTGTGATATCCTCTTAGACATAATCATGGCTCACTCAGAATTTAAAAGGCTATTTTTTATTGGTGTCTCTTTGTTCAATATTGAGCATGCGACTGATTGGAACACTTGAATGTCACATGACTATTGTACTATTTCTACAATCTGATCTGTTCTTATCCTTGTTTGCAGGTTTGAAACTCTGGATCTGACTTCAAGATTGCTTATACCTATAATTGTCTTGCAAAATCACAATCGATATAATATTATGGAAAAGGGCAATAACTATAGTATTAATGTCCAAGAAATTGAGGCAGAGGTTTGTTACTTTTAAAGTAATTTGTAAATCTGTTACATGACTTGAACATTGACTAGCTGTGAAATCCAGTGTAGTAAGACAGGAACAAATGGGACAATGACCACTTTTGCTCTCCTCTTAGGTGAAAAGGATGCTTCATGATGGGCAAGAAGTAGTTATTATTGGGGGTGTGCATTCACTGCATCGCCATGAGAAGCTGGCAATTGCGGTGTCAAAATCGATGCGTGGACATTCCCTGCAAGAAACCAAGAATGACGGCCGTTTCCATGTTCATACCAAGATGTATCTGGATGGTGCTCTTTTGAAAGAGGTAGCTGCCTTGTTAATATCTTTTTACTTGTATGATTTACACGAGTAATAGCTTCTTTCTTTTTGTTGGTATGTGGTTTTGGCATTCTTACTTTTAGATTTTGAATCGGGAAAATGACTTTGCATCCCTCACTAAAGCAATTGACAAATAGAAAACCATCTGATTTCAGTGCCGTCATAGCCGTTATCACATCTAAAATACCATGGAAGGCAGCTTTCCTGTTTTTCTTCCCTATCTCTCTTTGATGTTGAAACTTTTTTTTTGC